ACAAGCAGCGCTCCTTGGTAGGATGCAGTTGATGAGAGCAGTGCTCCTTGGTAGGATGCAGTTGATGAGTGCAGTGCTCCTTGGTAGGATGCAGTTGTGAGAGCTGGTTGCGTTTTGGTTCACCAATGTTTCTCACGCGCAGGCGCTCCTGGGCAGGAGCAGGTGGGTCCCAACCTCAGTTATGTCTGTGCACTTGGTTGATGATCAACCTGGAGATTGCTGTGGTGGTTTTTGCTGGACACTGCATGAATTTCCAGAGTCCTCATTCGTTTTTTTAACAGTTAAAATTTTTAACATTTTTTCAAAATTTTTAACATGTTAAAAATTTTGATTTTCCTTTGACTTTCCTTTTAAACCAGGAATTTTTAACATGTTAAAAATTTTGAAAAAATGCTAAAAATGTTTACTGTTAAAAATTTTTGGTGGTAGGAATTATAGTGTTTGCACATGCTGCATGTGTCCATGACTGGCCAGGTGACCATCACTGGTTTACTATATCGGTTTGGTGGCAATCTCAGATCCTTGCTGCAACAATTGGTAGTTGGAATGTACTTGGCAATATGTGGCCAGAGATTGGATGAGAGTTCAGCTGACTTGGTACACAGGGCCAGATCAGGTCCAGGCCTGTGCTGCACTCCCTCAAGCGAATGAGATTGCTTTTCATGGGGGGATTAAGTGCTGCTTTGTGGCATAAGTATTTTGAAGGTCACCAGCAATGTTTCCAGATGTTTCTGTATGAGTGGCATGCAGGGGGTTGTGAGAACCACCAGTTTGGGAGCTCACATGCCTCTCTATCTCTGGCTCAGCCACTGCATTGGCCAGGAGACTAGGTAGAGAGCTTCAGACTTTTGGAATTATTTTTAGGCGCCTGTGGGTGCAACATGCAGCTGTTGAAAAAGGACATCAGGCCAAACTGCTTGCAAGATGTGCTGTTGGAACAATGGTTTGCAATTGTACTGCAAGCAGTTCTGCTGCAGCCAATTAGCATGGCGCCTAAAAAAAATGGTGGAAAAATGGCCATGAAGATGGCTGCCAAGAGCAAGGCCGCTCCCAAGCACAAGGAGACCCAGAAGACTAGAATCAAACAGGAAAAGACATCTCCAAGGAGAACGCAGAAGGCTAAGAAGGAGACAGATGTAGAAGTCCAGGATTGTGAGGCGCCATCTTCAAGCAAGGAAACCTTGGGCTATCCCAGGGGAACCATTTCGGCCTTGCTCACCAGCTTGCGCTACCAGCCCAAGTCCAAGAAGCTCAGCGCAGAAGAGAAACAAGATGCAGCTAAAGCGCTTGAGGACAGATGAATGTTCCATTGTGGCATGGTTGGAGTTGTTTTTGGTTCTTGTTTGTATTTGCAGGAGTATGAGCAGGGCGATGTGGAGACCAAGAGGCAGATTTTGTCCAATTTGGACAAATATGGAGTCAAAAATTGCAGCTGGGTGCACCAGCTCAGCAAGAGCACAAAGACCCACAATGCCCATACAGAAGATGTCATCAGGAATTTCTACACAAGGCCACTGCGATGCATGTTTTTCTGCTGTCATGTTGCTGCATTGCATGTTGCTTGCACATTGTCTGGCTCGCGCAGGTCTGCCATCTTCAAAATTGAGGGTGTGGATGAGAGCTCTTTGGCAAATGACGACATGAAGCAGCAGCTTTTGGAAGAGATCTTGACGATGTGTGAGTTAAGGTTTGGACATGCCAGGCAGACGCAGCTGCATGATAAGTTTGACATTCTGAGCAAGTACTACTTTGTGCATTCTCAAGGCCAGAAGCAAACCACAGGGACTGTGGAAGAGCAGACCTTAGACAGTTCTTGCACTGGCATGAAGGGCATGCAGGTCAAGGACAAAGCTGCCATGGACATCATGATGGGCAAGACCAGCAGCGCAAACCGCCCGGATCCAGAGAACGTCAGCTCTTCCTTTTCTGAGGCATCTGAAAGCTTCAAGTTGCTGCTCAAGGACAAGGCGAGGTTGGCCGCAAATTTGGAAGATCTCAAATTTTTGAAGCACAAGATGAACAGCCTTTACAAGAATGACCCTGTTTGGACCAAGAAGATTGAGGAGTTGGCCAATGCATGCGTCAGTTTGGATTCCTTCTTGGAGGATCTGAGGGCTCACCATGCCAATGGTTTGCCCAAGGATGCTGAGGCTGATTGCCTAGAGCTGGCCAAGTCCTTGGCTACAGTTCATATGCAGGCTCTTACACATGACAAAGGAGGCAAGTCTATGATCAAGACTTTCAAGGCAGTCCTGGATCAGTGAGCATGGCGGCTGGAGGATATTCTCCTGTCAAGCCCCGGCTCGAGATCTCTGGATCCACCCTTGCGGCAAGCTGGAGAAACAGATGTTGTGTTGATTGCTTGCAGGCTGCGCTGACCTTGTGCAGCACGTTGCGTGTTAATAATTGGGAGCAAGCGCGCATGGCTTAAGCAAGACTATCAGACACAACTTTGGGATCTTTTAGGTCTTCTCTTCATGTAGACACCAAAATTCTGAACTTTGCATGTTTCGGTAAACAGAATGTTTTTCAAGAAACATGTTAGCTAGCGCAGTGCCAGGCTATGAGCAATAGCATGTAATTTGCAGTTGCCGGACATCCAATTCTGCCATGAGCTGATTTGGTGCCATGTACAACAAGAGGTCTTTGGCTTCAGAGGACATTGCAGACATTCCAGATGAGAAAAGGTTCAGGCATGACATGGTGGATGTTTTCCTGAACAATGAGCTGAGTAGCGCGAGATCAGCTCGACTGCTCCACAATGCTGCCATGGCAGGGGCACGACATGTGCAGGATTTGCAAGTCAATCAGTCGGGCTCAAATGCCCAGAGGGACCTGCTCAGAAAATGTTTCAGAAATAGCAAGTGGCCATCAGTGTATGAATTTTCAGTGCCTGGGTGGAACCAAGCCAAGCAATGTGAGCAGCAACATCAATTGGCCATGCTGCTGCCCCACGAACTGTTGCATGCTTTCTTGAAATTAAATTCTGCGGAGACAATGTTGGCCAACCAGCGCAATGTATTGCCTGAGAGGCCTGACCTGCTATCTCATTTGGCGCAGTTGCAGCAAATGGGATTGAATCCTGATGAATTGCTTCTCACAGGCATTTGGTCTGATGGGGTGCCATTCAATTCAGACCGGTCTCAAACTTTGGAAACAATTTCTCTCAACATCTTTGGTGACGATTCTGCCAGATTGCCTTTGACAGCTTTTCCAAAGGAATTTCTGCACAAGAAGAAGACTTTTGAATGCATCTTCGAGGTTTTGCAGTGGTCCTACAAGATTCTGTTAGGAGGTGTGTTCCCAAGCTGTAGACATGATGGGCAGCCATTCACGAACTCTGATAGCTATAGAAGAAAGTTGGCCCACAAGAGCATTGGCATCAAAGCCTGCCTGGCTGAATTCAGAGCAGACTGGGCTTGCTACAAGGATGTCCTAGATTTCCCATCTTGGGCAAGTACAGGCTACATCTGCTGGCAGTGCAATGTGCCTAAAGCCGACCTCAAAAAGTTCGACAGCCACACCTTTGCCAAGTACCTATGGGCACATTCTAATTCAAGTAATTGTTTTTGTTTGAGGTATATATAGATAATTAAATCGCCCCCGAGCCTGTTTTTTTCTGGAGGCCCTTGGGAGGATTTTGCTGAATTCAGCCCAAGTCAGGTATCCACTGATCCGCTCTTTGGATTTCTATATCAGGCAAAGGCAACAGAATAAGATGATCTCAAGATTATTCTCTTGCCCAGGCTTTAGCACAAGCTGCTGCAAAATGGATTGGCTGCATGCAGTGGATCTGGGCATCACAGCAGATTGGTTGGGATCTTTATTCTTTTACCTACAGAGTGAGAAGATCAGAGGTGTCAGCAAGTTGCTCCGATGCGCAAAGCTGTTCACAGATATTCAGGAGTATTACAACAGAGTACAAGCAACTGACAGATTGCCTAAGCTTCTGCCAACAATGCTCAGAGATGAAGACAAAGGCAAGGCTAAGGCGCCGAAGTTGAGGGCAAAAGCTGGGGAGGCTCGAGCACTTGTGCCTTGTGCTTTGGAGCTGGCCAGGAAATATTTAGATCCAGTCATATCACAAGAGGAGGCCATGCTACATGCTGCAGAAGCTTTGAATTCCATGTATACTTGCTTGAGCTCTGCTGCTTGGGACCAGGCTGTTTTCAGGGATGCTGCTCAAAGATATTTATTGCTGGCTGGGCAACTGGAGGCGTTCTTTGAAGAAGACAAGATATTCAGAGTAAAACCGAAAGCTCATCAGCTTGTCGAATTGGCCAGGCATGATGTCAATCCTAGTAAGATCTGGACATATCGGGACGAGAGCTATGGACACACCTTGGCGCTCCTGGGTAGGAGACGAGGAGGCAAATTTAGCATGCGTGCTGTTTCTTGCCAAGTCCTGAGGAGGTTTCTTGCAGCTAACAAGCTGCCTCGACTCCAAGCTCGACCTGCTGGCTGCAAAAAATGTTGTGCCATTGCACGGGATAGATCCCCGTCAAAACACAAGTGCATATGCATATGGATCTATATGGTGCATATAGAAAATTTCACATTGCTTAAATAAGCATTTTTTCTTTAAATTATAAACAATGCTTAATTAACAAAACATTGCTTAATAGTCATGGCATTTAAAGTTCTTAAATTAAATAAGCACTTTTGGATGATCTGGGGCCTTCGCTAGCCTTCGATAGCCTTCGCTAGCCTTTGATAGCCTTCGATAGCCTTCGATAGCCTTCGATGGCCTTCGCTAGCTTTCGCTAGCTTTCGCTAGCCTTCGATAGCCTTCGCTAGCCTTCGATACAGCCTTCGCTAGCCTTCGCTAGCCTTCGATAGCCTTCGCTAGCCTTCGCTAGCCTTCGCTAGCCTTCGATAGCCTTCGATAGCCTTCGCTAGCCTTCGATAGCCTTCGATAGCCTTCGCTAGCCTTCGATATTCGATAGCCTTCGATAGCCTTCGATAGCATTCGATAGCCTTCGATAGCCTTCGTTGCCAAGGATGGCCGGAGCGAGCGCCAGTGCCCGAGCGCGGCAATCGCCATTCTCACTGCCATCGAACTCGAATGTTTGCAGGCGCACGGCGCTGAGAGGTCGGTGGCCCAGAGTGCGGTGTGGCGATACGCACGGGCTCATGGCTTTACTCCAGGCAGCACCCGCGGCCAGTCGTTGCTGTTGCTGGACAGGCGAGTCCATTAAACGGAGACGGGAGAGCCTGGTGAGGGGACTGAATCCGAAGGGACTGAAACCGTCCTTGCGCCCGTCCCCCTCCTGGTGCAGTGATGCCGCTGGGAAGGCGCGCGGAGAGGAGCCATGAGGCTGACATCTCTGAGCGTGAGGCTTTGGCCAGTGTCCTTGCGGTAGCCAACCCTGACCCGACTCCGCTGAAGGACGTTGGGGCCTGTTCTTGAGCCGCATGGAGCCATCTGACAGGAGTTGGCAGCCCGGTTGGAGGCAGCCCTGCCTTTTCCCGCCAAGGCAGGCTCGGTTTGGCACTCGATCTCGACTCGTGGACTCCTCGTCTCCTCGACTCCTCGACTCCCTTGGCCGAAGGTGGTTCCGTATGGTTCCATCATCAGCCGATTTGCGGATCGAGATGCTGACGCTGCTGCAGCCTTACAGCCTTAGAATGCCTTAGACCTGGACGATGCGACATGTGCAAAGGACCTCTCCGTACTTCCCGAGCAATGCCATTCCCGACAGCTACAGCAAAGGGCGCCCCCAAGCACAGGCGATCGGAGTTTCAGCGTGTACCTTGGAGGTGCTGGTCGAGTTGCGGCAAGAGCAGGAGCCCTAGGAGCCCTAGGTTTCAGGGTGACTTGAGGAGAAGCGTTCGGAGTTGCGAAGGAGTCCTTGCCTTGGAATTGGAGTTGAGGCTCTTGAAGCGGGGATGGCATGTGTCAGCCATTGGCTTGGGTGGTCGCGTGGCAAGCCCGGGCATTTCAATGGTCCAAAGAGTCCAAAGGCATCCAAAGGCATCCAAAGGCATCCGAAGTCAAGGTGCCTGTCCTGACGCTGTACTGGGCGGAGGGCACAGCCGACGCCTGGGCCCCCGGATGCCCTGGAGCCCTGCGGAGCAGAGGAGCGGACCCTGAGACCCTGAAGCTCAGGTCACGGTGGGCAACCAGCTGGGAGTCTACAAGAGCGAGCTCTTGCGGGAGTGCGCCGACTCTCGGATGCCATGCCAACATGGTACAAGTGGGAGGTACTCAATGCTGGACAGGCGACTCTGTGACCTCGTCATTGCAGTCAAACGCCCTGTTCTGAGTCCCTCTCTCACAGTATTCCTTATTTTTGCCCACGCCACGCAGCCCTTCGTTGCGTTTAACGTCTCCTCTCCTTTCCAGCCTCGTTTCATTCAAAGTTGAAGCTCCGAAAAACAGGCACTGCTGGGAGCCACGGCTTCTGTCAGTTGTTTTGCGCGTATTTGCAGACTCCGGTTCGATCCCTGTGGCCTGTTCTGCACAGCTCTTGCGCGATGCCTCACACCCGCGCCTCGAGCCTCCGTCGCAAAATCGGATCGGACCTCGTGACTTCTCCATTTCGCGTAAACTGTGTGGCGCTGAAACGTGGGCGGCTACCTTCGTACACGAGCAAAGTTGTCTCGTTGCAAGTGTCTGGGGCATCAAAGGGACAGAAATCGATCCAGGTCCGGCGGCTCAAGGAACTCATTTTAGATCACCGATGTGCAGGCGGTTTTGGGGATGGCACGTCAGACGTTTCACACAGTCTTGTTCTGCCCTCTGGCCAGCGCCTGGTGACTGCTCAACTTAGTGCTGGCTCGTAGACTTCGGGGCAGATGTCCAACATCCATCCAGACTCCAGACTCTGGCACCGGCTGACGCCTTGCGCATCGCTTGATGTAAGGCTGGGCCAAGCTGCGGCAGATCAGCGGGCAGACGAGGAGCGGGGAGGAAACTCGGAAAACGGGGGAAACACAGAAGACGGAGGTTTTGGGATGTTTGGGGTTTTGCTTTGGGGGACCTCAAGCATGTTTGTTTGTGCAAGTTGGGCCCCGATAGTTTGCAGCCCGTTTGAGTGAAGCTGGGCGCACACAAAACGGCGCTTTCCTGAATTGCGTTTATCCAGTCGCGTCAGGAGGCCAGGAGACCGGGAAACCTTAAATGGGTTCAATACACGGGTTCCGGCTTGCACGGGACAATTGCGTGTGTGTACCATCCGTAAAGGAACCTGTTAGGATGTCTTTGAATGGGTCAAGCGTTCACAGCTTTTGGTTCGCGCCCGGGTTAGTTGCTTCCAGTTTGGGCCCAGGGGATATTTGGGTGGCTATGCGTGGACATTGCTGGCGCTGGCCTTTGCCCAGACTGTGGCAGTGCCCTCGCTGCAGGCTCTGAAGGGGAGAGGGAGAGAGTGCTTCGTTTGCACCGGATCGAGGGAAGTCGGAAGAGTCGGAAGAATGTTACAAAGCGGCAAAACATGACAAAGGAAAGCGAGCGAGCCATGCCCTTAAAGGGAAAAGCAAGGCAAGTTGACACTTTGGCTCAGATGGCTTCCGTTTTCCAGGCCATGGCGACGCCCAAGATTTGGACGGACACTTCGAGCTACAACGTGGCCTGGGCTGCTGCCCAGGATGTGAGCAAGGAGAGACACGGATGGCGACAGACTGACAGACCCCGACAGACGCATGTCTTGCAAGTGAAGCATTCCACGCGAGGGTCAGCTTGACTGGAATGGCTGGACTTCAGCCGGGCGCCGCTGGCATGTCTGACACAACATTTTGGCTTTCCAGTCAGACGCGGTCCAGGCTGCTTCATGGCTTTTTCAGCTTCTTCGATGAGAGCCCCAACCTGAGAGCGTGCCAGCCCGTGGGTGCTTGTGGCAAAGAGTTGGCTTTTTCCGACTTGGAGTACGGAAGATGTGAAATCGGATATGTCGGAGTGATAGATGTGACTTTACAATTTATGCTCTTCCCCCCCTCCCCCCCGTTTTTTGTTTCATTTCGTTTCGGCAGCTTTCGACTTCCACCGGGAGTCTGCTTCCGTCCGCCTGGGCTGCCGGGCGCGGCACTCGGGCGGCGCCAGCCGATCAGCCGATCAGCCGATGTCTCACCATGTCCGCGGCGCGCTTCCTGCCAGGCGGTGCGCGTGGGCATGGACAGGCCGGACAGGCCGCGGTACAGGCGGGAAGTACTCGTTTGCGCGGCAAATGACCGTGGTGCAGTTAGTCTACTGGACAAAGTCCGTTGCAGGACGCCGCCACGTTTGTCTCTGGAAGATCCCATTGAGACGGACAGTGCCAGAATTTCAAGCAGCATAGCAAGTCTCCATTCACAATTAATTCAATTGGTTCCAGGTCCTATCGAAGGATTCGGTTGAGGTTCTCGGGTTCTCGCCTCGCTCGCAGGACTGGGACCTGGGGGCCATCCTGGACGCGCCGCGCCTGGCGCGGCTGCGAGCGGAGCTGCGGCGGGCCTCGCGGCGCCTACGGGCCGGTGACGGTGGGGTCCTTGTGACGGTTGAGACATTTGAGACAGACAAGCTACGCTTGCACAAGTTAATTTTGTGAGGTTGCACAAATTGTGACGTGGAGTTCTTTGTCCATTTCATGCAGCCTCAGCCTAAACCATCCCCTTCCACGTCCTTCCACATTCCCTCTCTGTACCTTTCCGCTCGTTTCCGGCCTGAAACTCCCTCTTTTGACCCCTGTGCCCAGATTTCTGCCAGCCGCTGGAAGCGGTGTTCCAGCCGCGAGGAAAAGCGAGTGCGGAAAAGTGGGCGTGCCAGAGACTGGTGCGTTGGTTTGCGGGGCGGCTCATGAGTCGAGTGGTGCCATCCAAGAACCCCCTGAAAACGTCGTCGGGCTGGGCAAAGCAATCAATCGCCTGCCCGTTTTGCAGACGCATGTAGATTGCAATGATTGCGGCAAGCAATGCCTTTCGGATCAAATGCAAGAATTCCAGGTTTGGGCCTTTGACAGTTCATCACAGATGGCAAACAAGAGCCTGGAATGCATGTTGCGCGTGGCTCGTTTCATCAGCTGCAGATCCCTGGAACAACAAGCCACCAAGATTAGTACAAATTGAACATTCTCGGATTAGCTTGGGAACGCCTTTTTTTTTGCTTGTACGGCATCTTTTTGGAAGTGCCAGCTCTGGAATTGAAGACAAGTCCCTGCATGCCACAGAAGCCTGACTCGCCTTGTGGGCTTGAGAGCGAAGCGCAAGAGTTTGATGGAGCCTTGGAGGAAGAGCAATGAGCTTGCGATTTGCTAAGTGATGCCTATCGCAGTGTCTTGGTGCTACGAAGTGTCACGGAACTCGGAAAAGGAAAACGGGCCTTTGCCAATATGCCCCTAGAAAGCTGGTCACGTGTCTTCAGTCATTTCAAGGTACAGCCGACATGAATGTAGTTGTTCATTGGATGTGTCATTTTCAGAAGAGCCCTGTTGAAGGCTTCACAGGACCTCTTGTCAAGTGGCAAAGTGTTCCGACCGCCTGGAAGGGGTGCTCGCGCCAGGCTCGTCAGATAAGCCGGGCGGTAGACTGTAGGGACGCTGTGAAACGGGCCATGGCGAGCTCTGGCACTTACAGGCGCATTCTATTGCCTACAAGTAGATTGTAGATTGCTACAAGTGGCTCTAGTGCTTCTCTTGACTTCTTCTTCTTCTTTTTAGAGCGCGCAGGGCCTTGATGTGCGAGAAGATTTCTGCTTCCGCCTCTGAAGGAATAGAGGCGGCTTGCTAGTTTGCGCTGAGCGGACGCTGGCAAGATGCCAGGCAGCCGTCATCAAGGACCTTCCTCGTCAAGCACAGCTGGGGCAGGACGAGGCGCCAGGGGGGGGGAAGAAATCGCTTGTATTCCAAGCTCTTCGGATGTCTCGCGGGTTTGTTCTACGGCAGGTGCGGATCTCGGCGCGTGCGGCGTCGCTGAACTTCCCCGAGTTGCTGATGATGCAGAACAAGTGCGCGCTTTCTGCGTTTTCTGCGCTTTGCTTTGCCCGAGTCGGAGATAGCCCAGGTACCAGTACAAACCTCAACTGCCTTTCGTCCTGTGCACGGAAGGCAAGTCGTTCGGGTTCGCAATTTGGCACATTTGCGCAAAGGAATTCGAACTGGGGAGAATTGGAGGTGCTGGAGTGGTCACAGAAGTTGGGTCTAAGGCCGGGTTGAGATGTACACAATTGAAATCTATCTGAATTCCTCATGCAATTGTACGCTCGTGTGGCTCCCAGGTGACCAAATTCCATCCTGGAGATCGGGTATTTTATGTGGCTCGGTCGCTTTCAGTGTCGCTTGCGCTTCGTCACAATGTGGCGTCGGCCTGTCCCAGGCAACTCTGGCGGGCTGTGCACGGGAGGAGATGACTCTGTCGGAGCAGGCGGCGGCGGTATATGTCGCATGTTTGCCGTGTTTGTTGATTTGATGCTTGGTGTTGCAATTGCCTTTGCGCAGATGTGCGTTCCACTTCCTGATGCACTGTCCTTCAGCCAGGGAGCCGGTGCCTTTGCGTAGGTCTTGCTCGGCCTGGCGCCTGCGTGTGGCATGCGCCTGCCAGGCAAGCTTCCACATGGGCTACACGACAGGCGCGTTTGTCCCATCGCATCTCATTGCATCATTCATTGAATCGAGTCATTGAGGCTACCATGGCCTGGTGACCAGAGGGCGGCTCCAGGCTGGGGAGTGGCTTCTGGCGGGGCTCTCGAGTGAGTCGCGGCGCGGCGTCGCGGCGTCGCGGCGTCGCGGCGTCGTTGCTCCGCTTCGAGGTCACGGGCGCCGGGGGCGGCATGGGCACCATGGCGGTGGAGCTGGGCAAGGCCGTGGGCGCCAAGGCTCGCCACGAGACAAGTGGAAGGAACGAAAAAGCGCGTGACGTGAAGAAAGCTGAACGGAGGAACCGGAAGTGACCGGAAAAAACAGCGAAAGAACCCGGCACGAGGTGATTGCGGCCGCCAGCTCGGACGACAAGCTGGAGGTCTGCAAGAAGGCCTTAAATGCCGTGTGCCGTCCGCGAGAAGTCTTCAGTTTCTCAGTTGGGTGCTGACTACGTGGTGAACTACAGCAAGCAAAAGCTCAAGGATGCTGCCTGGACCTTGGCTCATTGGATCGCACTGTCGCATGGGGATTTTGGACTTGGAATCCTTCCAGGACTTGTTCCCACAAGCACCGGCCATCTTGTTTGATTTGATCGCTTTTCAGGACGCCTTTGGGTTCAGAAATTGGGGCTCGGAGTGCCCTCATTTCCGAGTTCGGGTCCTGTCCGAGTCCACGCGCTTTGCAGGTGGGGGAGATTACCAAGGGGCACTACTGCGATGACGGGTCCTCAGCTTTCGGATGTCTAAACGCCATGGACCCACAACGAGGTGATCTACGACCCTGTTGGAGGAGAGATCTTTGACCAGTGCGTGTCCGCCCCCCGAGTCCGGTTTCAAACACTTCACGTACTTCAAGTCAGCGTGGAGCAAAGGCAACATAATGCAACAAATAAATGCAACTGAGCCACACGTCGCCCGATCAGCTTAGGCGCTGTGTGGCCCCAAAGGGCTATGCCAGACTTCTAGTGGTGGGCTTTGCGCCCCCCTGATGCATTTGGCGTCGCACAAGCCAAAGAGCTCGCCAAAAAGACACTTCGGAGAGTCAGGTCTGGCACCATCCCAAAGTTTGGCATCAACATGGTCAGCGCCGAAACTCAGTCGCCGAAGTGGCTTCCCAGCTTGCAAGCCGAGGCGTTGATCAAAGGCTTTGACCTGGTTGGAGTTCGATCTGGAGCACAGCTTGGACCGCGGTTTTGGGTTTGGATGGGCCTTTCAAACAATTTCTCTTCGAGTGTTCTTGTCAGCGCACTCGGCCTCTCAAGTCAGCGAATGAGACCGCGGGGGCCATGGCCAAGCGCAATGTGTCACGCTGGGAAACTAAGGAAGCCCAAGTTCACAGCCAAGCCACTTCCTCGGGAGGGATTAGATCCATTCGATCCAACAGAAAAGGGGTGCAAGCTTGCCTGGCATCGGAACAAATGTCCAGCCATGGACTATGGCAATATCATTTCTGCCGTGCAGGGCATCACAGGATGTGCCTCCAATCTGCGCCTGGCCAATTGCGTCGGCCGCTTGGTGTGAAGACCGGACAGGACTTGGCCGGATCTCCGAGCGAAAGGTCAGACGCTTCGGAGCAACCTGTGTGAGACCCATGGTGATTCCATGCGATTGTCGACGTTCTTGGAATTTTTTGAGACAGTCACGTGACGTCCATGAAAACAAGGGAAGCACCACATGGTTCAGCACAGAGAAAGCTGGGCTGCCAAGAGCCCCAGAGTGTTCCACCAAAAGCGAAGCATGTCTTGCACATGTCCGAAAACGGCGCACAACCAACCAGTTACAAACTAGCGAGTTTCACTCTTCAAGGGCACTTCGATACATGTGAGCGGCGTTCTAAAGAAATATAGGCTTTCTCATAGGAGTGGACAGAGCCGACCTGCGAAAGCGGAAGCTCAGGGCTACGGCCTGAGAAAACTGATAGGCTGAGTCGATGCCTCATTGCAACACTGCGCACTCGCGATGTGACTCGGATCCACCCCATTTGCTCCGCCCAACTGAGCCCAAAGTCGCAAGAGTCCAAGTTGAGCGTCTTAGCAGCCAAGCTGGGAGACGGGCCGTGCCGGCCGCGCGCCGGCACGCTCTCCGTATTTGAGGAACGGAGCGGGCTGAGGGCCTGGCGCGGCAGGCCGCGGACGCGGTGGAGCTGCTGGGCGCCGGCGTGACGCTGCCGCAGGCCACGGCTTTGGTCTGCCAACTGGCCCTGGACTGCATCGGCCGCTCGGACGAGACTCCGATGGATCGAATTGGATCCAAGTTGACTGAGAGAGATTAGGTTGCCCCGACACGTCAGGCTTGACGAAAGCAGTGGATTTGGAGCTCGCCTCCCAGATGATGGATTGCTTCGACCAGACGGGCCTTGTGGTCTGGGGCTTCAGTGTGGAAGTCGCGGAGCTTGTTGCGCTCAGCAGCTCGGTGAATGTTCGATGGGCCCCGATTTCGTGGTTCGCAAAGCCGAGGTTTGGCTGCCGTGGCCGGCTTGCTGGTCCTGGGTGCTTGAGCTGCAAGTGAGCTGGTGAGCTGGTGAGCTGGTGAGTGAGTCCGAGTCCAAAGCCCATGGAAGCCAGCCCGAGGCAACCATGACATGAGCGTGCCCAGCCACCGCTACGCCAAACGTGCACAGATCGCGCCATATTTGGAGCCGGTGGCTGCAGACTTCGACGTCATCTCGGCACAGGCGGGTTCGGCACCGAATTCGGCAGACGGAACGTGGGCACGGCGAAGGTGACGGCAGAGACGAGTTGCGTTTGCCACGGCGTTTGCGTCAGGTCTACGCCGCGCTGTGTCGCATTGAGCTGGAGGAGGGCACGCCGGAGGAGCGAAGCCTGGTGCGGGCGTTCCAGCGAATCTGCATTTGGATTCTCACCATTCTGTGCCTTGCCGGCTCGGGGCCGGGCTAGGGGCCGGGCTAGGGGCCGGGCTAGGGGCCTTAGGGGCTGGAATGGGCTGGATGATGCTGGATGATGCTGGATGATGCTGGATGCGTGAGCTGAGCAATTTGGAACTGCAGGTATCGCTTTGAAGGCTCTGGCATTGAAGCAGCAAATTTGTGGGAGTGGGCTGGCGGAGATCCACACTGGGCTTTGGTGCTGGTGAAGGGCGTGCTGGCCTTTTCTCAGGCGCAACAAATGAGACGCATCAGACATGCGTGCTCCTCTTTTCCTTTCTTTTTTTCGGCTGCGATTTGGCGCCAGGCAGAGGAGGGTCTGGTGCCAGACGAGCTGCACAGCCTAAAGGATGCAGTTCTCCTGGCGGCCTGCAGACTGCACACGCCCGACATCGCCTTTGGTGGTGAGTTGGAAGCAGACATCATCGCCGACGATGCTTGTCGCAAGATCCCTCTCCTGCATTTCTTCTTGCTGCTTTCCCAGAGTTTCGGACATTTTCGTTTGGATTCGTCTTCTGAGCCTCGCTAGGATTTGGGCGGAGGCTTCTCAATGGCTGAGCGCCTGGTGGGATCAGATTTACACAGAGCAAGGCTCGCTCAAGCAGCAGTTGATGCAAATCTCTTGGCTCCCGCTGTGGCCCATGCGCATCTTGGCTGCCATCCATGATGTACTTAGTGGCATGTGTGAAATGTCCGCAAGTCTGACTGCATGAACTGAGGTCCTCAAGCAGTGCTGACTGTGTTGCAGCTCTGCTGAGCTTCCTCTCAGCGCTGACGAAGCCCGTGCAAAGTCAGTCGTCTGCCTGGGCCGAAGTTATCGCAGAGGGCGAAAGCACCACCAGCATCACTACCCGGGCGGATGCGGAGGGCGTCATTGACGCCTTTGCGGCTGCGGCCTCCATGTATCGCCACAGTGTCTGGACGCTGCTCACGTCAACCGGAACGGCTCCCAGCCTGGGCTTCCTCCGGGACTGCGCGCAGCTGGCCGCGGCCGTGCCGCCGCCGGAGCTGTGCTGCGCGGCCCTGGGCGCCTGGGCGGACGGGGCCGGCGGCGCGGAGGCGGACCTGGCGGCGCTGGCGGCGCTGGCGGCGAACGCGCGGCTGGGCCCCGCGGACCTGGCGCCGCTGCGCGCGCGCGTGGAGCAGCTGGACCCCGAGGCCTCGGAGGCCTTCGCGCGGCACATGGCTCGGTCCCGGGCGCCCATGCGCCAGCCGGAGACCTGGGAGCTTTGGTACAACCTGGCCGGCTCGCGCCCTCCGCCTCCAGACTCTCCAGACTCTCCAGACTCTCCAGACTCTGACGCCAAAGAGCCAAAGCCAGAGCCAAAGCCAGAGCCAAAGAAGCGGCCAGCCCAGGCAAGTCTCAGGCACCGGCTTTGGAGAAACTCATTGAGCAAGTTTGATCCGTTTTCCGTGATCACAGTGGTGAGTTCAAGAGCCAAAAGTGCAGGTGCCTTCTTACCCCTCAGAGGATGGTAGCCCATGTCAGCCCTGTACACATGCTTGCACCGAGCACCAAGCACCAAGCACCTGTTTGAATTCGCAGGGACATTATCCGAGATGCGCCGCCTGAGCTGTGCTGCGCTCTGGACGGCAAGCTGCTGATGGACCCAGCCGCACAGCTAAGACCAGAGAGGCGGTTGAGGCTGAGGCGAGAGGCCGCCTTGCAGCACTCTTGCCATCTCTCGCCGTGACGTGAGGTGAGGTCGCCTTATGGCCACGTCTTCGAGCGCTCCAACCTTGCCAGGGCGCTGGAGCAAGAGCTTTGCCCTTTGCCAGACCCCCAGGGCTCCGCGCTGAAGGGGGGTTTTGAACGTGAACCTTCAACTCACGCAGAACACATGCCCAAAGGTATGTGGTTTGACACTTGAGTCACTTGAGTCCGATCATGTCCGATCGGGATTGCCAAGTTCGGAGTGCGAATCGCATGTCGCAGCCATTCGTAGCCTCGTAGCCTGAGGACGGGTGAGGCGCTGCGCCTCGGGGACTGCGTGCGGGACGCGGCGCTGCGTCTCCGGGCTGCGCAGTGGGTGCGCTCCGCGCAGCGAAAGGCCGGGCCTTCGGCACGATGGAACTTTGAGAAGTCAGAGAGAAGTGACGAGAGCAGACAATTTCCGAGAAAGGAACCGGGGGAACACGGGGACTAAAGACGGGGAGAAGGGAGGGGGAATGAAGAGGGACGGAAAAGGGAAGGAAAAGGGACGCACCAGAAGAAGAACCGCGAATGACCACGAAACCGAGGTGACAAATGGCTGAAATCGGCACTGAAGAGCAAGGAATTCCGCGCATTCCGGCAAGGCTTGGTCCAAGACCATCCTTGGATTCAAAGCAGCGACCCTTGTCGCTTGCGATGTTCTCGGATTCAAAAATGAAGTGAACGGAGCTGTTTGACTGGCATGAGGTGCACAGCGCATGCCCTGCAAGCCAAACAACCGGTCAGGACTAGAGCCAGAGCTTGCGCAGCAGACGATGCTGGACCTCCTGAAGTTAGCGCTATCCTGAGCTTCAAAGGTTCAGCCGAGCTTCTGACAACTTGAAAACAAAGCCTTAGAGAGAGAGTTTCAGTGTGAAGGCCACGGATGGTAAGCTGAAGCCGTACATCTCCACAGAGTTTCCCCTGGATCGATTCAGGCGCTGTGCATGGCTCGTGTTTGAAAGTAGCCGTTCGAGCGAGGGATGCGTTTCGTCTCATGGAGCAGAGAAAAGCCCCGAGCCCGGATCGGATGATCGGCGGATCGCAAGCGGATCGCAAGCGGATCGCACGCGGATGCTCGGCATGGCGCTGATGTTCTTTCGCGTCACTGAGGTGGTTGGGAAGTGTGGGGCTCAGCTTTAAGGCTTCGGGCTTTCGCATGCTTTCGCATCATTCGCACACCCAACTGAGCCCAGGTGCTGCATCACCCTCGGCCAAAGCAAGCTGTGAGCGCGACAAAGAAGCGTCTTTGGGTGCGGTGTGATTGCGAGCGCGTGCGAGTCGCATGAGTCGCATGAGTCGCATGAGTCGTGTTCCCGGGATGTATTGCTTAAGCTTTGGCTCAGCTGATCACACGGGAGGCCGGGACCGTGTGAAGGCGCGCGGATGAAGCTGGGGTCTTCTGATTCGGCCAATCCTCAGGGCCCGAGATGAGCATTGTGGGGCAAGAGTTCTGGATAGTCGCCGTTGGTTGCGCCAAGGGCCAGCACCACCCCCAGACATCCCAGACTTGTTTGATCTTGTTTGCTTGCTTGGCGTGTGACACGATGTGACACGATGTGACACGATGTGACACGATGTGACACTTGGTGCCTTGCGACAACTCGCAAACTTAGGGAGTCGGCAGTGAAGAAGGATCAGCTGTTGTCCCAGCTGGGATCTTAAGACTTCAAGATTGCGAGTTCGGCGGTTCGGCGGCAAGAGGATGCACTCCGAGGCTAAAGAAGTTCCCGCATCTGAAGGGATCGCCTGTCGTCCTGCAGGCTCCGGGCCGCGTCGGGAGAGAGATGTACGCGGGGTCGAGCGTGTTGCTCTCACAGGAGCCTTGCAAGTTTGATGTGCCCGACGGCGAGAAGTCGCTTCTTTTTGGGTCCTTTGACAACCTCATCCGACTGACGGAGCGGGCGTTTGTGGAACACTCTTTCTGTCGGTGAGTGTGCCAGCGCGCTGCTCATTAAGTCTCAAGTGGCTTCACCGGCAGGACGACTTGGCCAAGGCGGATTCGCAGGTGGACAGCATTTTGCATCGCCTTGAGAGGCAGCCGCCGCCTCAGACGGCTCAAAAGTACCAATAGGAGCCATCACCTGGGGAGTCAAGGGCTTCGCCCGAGCTGCAGCAAGATGCCCAGGCCTAGTTTTAAAAAGTACATTTAGTATGTTTGGTTTCTTTTCGGGCTGCGCTTGGTTTGCTCTCTCTTCAGTCTTGCCAATGAGAGTGGGATGCGGAAGCAGCTCTCAACGGGTGAAACGGTTAAAAGCGGTTAAAAGCAGTGAAATGGTTAGAGTAGTTGAAGGGAAGTTAGAGCTGGTGACCAGCTTTGCTAAAACCAACAGCGTTGCTAAAACCAACAGCGCTGTGTGGTGCTCGATGCTCGGCGATGCTCGGCGATGCTCGGCGATGCTCGGCGCTGCTCGGCGCTGCTGGGATGCGGGGAAAACCGTTTTGGGCGGCTTTTTGGGCGTTCAGCGTTAGCCCAATGCCCGTATTCGCCCGTATTGGTGTTTTGGAGGGAGCGCGCAAATGCCGCGAGCGCTGTAGCGGGCGATTCCAAAGACTTACACGCAGAAAAGCTGGAACAAGTGCCAACAAGAAAAGCCGACAAGCAAGTGCCGACAAGCAAGAAGTTCAACAAGTTCAACAAGTTCAACAAGTTCAAGAAGTTCAAGAAGTTCAAGTGGTCTATGAGCATCGAGCCGTAACGCGTCACGGAAAGCCTGGAGGCCTGGAGGGCGGCCCATTGGAGTCTCAACGCTGTCACTTGTCGTTCAAACAGTTCTTTGCCTTTTGAAATAAGTCACACCGTTAAGAGCAGCAAGAACTGGAATGTATTGACCTTTAGTTTTGGAGTCTTCTGTTTTGCCTTCCAATTTTGGTCCTGAGGTACGTGGAGCTGGAACCCAAGGCGAGGTTTATTGTCAAGTCCCAGCGGAAGGACCGAGTGGGCCGAGTGGGCCGAGTGGGCCGAGTGGGCCGCGTGCACCGGAAGCTGAGTGGAAGCTGAGTGCAAGCGTGCGGTCGGGATAGGACTTGCCTGTCCTCGACTATCTCGGGACCGACGTGCTGAGCTGAGTCGCGAACGTAAGCATGAGCTCAGTGAGATGGGCAGGAGCTGGTCCTGGGACGAGGCCAAGTACCCCAAAAGCCGGTCCATCCCGGACATGCTGACCTATGCGATGCCAGCGACTTGAAGTTGGATCTTTCTGTTTGATTCTCTCTGTCACGAGGTCCACTGTGAACCATATCGACGAGGAAGCAAGAAACAAGACAGCGCAGTTCAATGATTTCAAGACCCAGATGAGTTGGCGCCTTACATTCTTTCACTCGGACTCGGACTCCATGGTGCATATCCCGTGCAAGGCAACCTGGCAAAGAAGGACGCCGCTAACCTGGCAGGACCGGGCGACCGGTGTGACAAAACGGGCGAGAGCCTGCGCTCAGAGCGTTCAGAGCGCTCAGGCAGAGACCTGATCGACGTCCTCACTCCCGACAAGGTGAAGGCGGACGGCAGCCCGGATGACGATTTCATCTCGCCGGCATCCTAACTTCAGAACCCGTTCGCGCATCGCTTCGTTCATGAGATCTCATGAGACTTGTGCGCGCAAGGACTGAGCATTTGGTCACGATCCCTGTGATCCTGCCGCGTGGTGGCGAGGTGGGCCTTCCGAATGTCAACTCTCCCCTCGAGAGAGCAACATGAAAAAGTGAAAGCACCAGTTGAGTCCTGGCTCAGGATGAGTTCTTGAAGATGTACGAGAGCATGCAAGAGAACATCGTGTGGGTGGCTCAGGAATTCCATTGGACTTAGACTGGGACTTGAGCTGCAAGCTTCGAAACCCAAGGCCAAGATCAGCCAGGCAGTTCAAGGGCATTGAAGACAAGGAGCTGACTCTCTAACTCGGACAGGTGTAATTTGGGCATCAGGTTCGCACGTGGACTATTCCGGTGAATGTCTGTATCTAGGCGCACCACCTGAGCAGGATGGCAATACCCTGTGGCGCGTGGTGATGTTTCTTGGATCTTATTTGCAGCACTTGCCACTGAGAGATTTTTGAAGCCGAGGTTCAGAAGTGCGGTAGAAGGCTTCAAGAAGGCTTGCAGGGAGAAGCGCTTCACAGCCAGCGCCCCAGAACTGAGAGTGTTCCCTCCCATGTCCAAATGTGCGCAGGTGCGGGATTTCGAGTATAGCAAGGATGGCTCGGGGCTTAGTGGAAGTTTGGCTTAACATCAGGATCCATCTAGGGTCGCGGTATCATCAGCAACACCAGTGCGTGCCATTAACTGTTCTGAGTGCAGATGGGCATGATCAGCCATCCATTGCAAGTCATATTTGCTCTGGCGGAATTGCATATGTCCATGTCCTACACGTCGTCATTCATCGACACCCGCACAAAAGCATGTGGCTGTGGCTCAAAAAACCGGTACCAAAATGGAACCCTGGCAAGTGGAAGCATGGACCAAAACCTGCGTAACCCCTCCTGTTTAATTTGGAGCAACACCCATGTCATCCTCAGCATTCAGATTAGCATCATCAGCATCACTAGCATCATCAACATCATTGTCATCATCCGCATCATTTGCATCATCAGCATCACTCATATCCTCAGCATCATCAGTCTTAGCAACTGACATTACCCGAATTCAGATTTGAAGCAACACGGTAGTTCGCAGTATCAACAACATAATGCCCACTCGAGCCACCATCACGCAGAGCTTCAAGCATTCTATGTCCTCCCAATGCTAGGAGTTGGGGTTCGTTCTGCACGAAAGAGGCCGTTGCAAGAGCAAGCGGTGACTTCTGCAGTGTTGAGAACAGTCCTACACGAAGAAACCCCATGTCCAACAGCGTCCAGCGGCTTTCGGGATGCTGTCCAACGCTACGTCTAAAGTGAAGAAACAAAATGAGAGACGGCCACCGCTGCAGAGTCGACTTGTATGAAATCTCCAAGCACAAGCTGCTTGACTGTGAGGTTATCACAAGCTGGAGCAACAGCGGAAGACTGTGGAGGAGTCTGTGAAGAGGCCGACCCCTCGTAAACCACTTGCATTGCTTTCCCATGCGAGGGTCAGCCTTGGCAAGCAGCCCAATGCCCAACCGAGCCAGGCAAAAGGATCTTGTTCACGGACTCTATCAGGACTGCCATCCTTTCAGTGACGCTGTCAGATGCACACTCCAGGTTGCATACGGGGCACACTCACAACTGCCAACAACTTGTAGACTTTGGTGGCTGTGACTCCGACAAGCTGCAGGCCTCGTGGTCAGATGTTTTTGTTGACTGGAGCTGAGATCCAGGGTGTCCAGATGTTTCCAGCTCATCAGGTCCACAAGATAGACTGAGATAGACCAAGGCCTGGATGCACATCAAGGCCATGCGGATCTTCGTGGAGAGTGTGCTGCGCTTTGGTATGTTGCCACCTCAGAGACCGGCTCCGAAGGCTCCGAAGGCTCCGAAGGCTCCGAAGGCTCCGAAGTTGGCTCCGAAGTTGGCTCCGAAGTTGGCTCCGAAGTTGGCTCCGAAGTTGGCTCCGAAGTTGGCTCCGAAGTTGGCTCCGAAGTTGGCTCCGAAGTTGGCTCCGAAGTTGGCTCCGAAGTTGGCTCCGAAGTTGGCTTGGCTCCGAAGTTGGCTCCGAAGTTGGCTCCGAAGTTGGCTCCGAAGTTGGCTCCGAAGTTGGCTCCGAAGTTGGCTCCGAAGTTGGCTCCGAAGTTGGCTCCGAAGTTGGCTCCGAAGTTGGCTCCGAAGTTGGCTCCGAAGTTGGCTCCGAAGGCTCCGAAGGCTCCGAAAACGCAAAATGGCTTGATGTTTCCAACCAATTCCAATGGCCCCAGCTGTCGCTGCCATCGGATTGAGGCCGCCAGCCTTTGCCTCCTTCATCCTCAGTCCGAAGGCTTGCGAAGGGGAAAGAGGGAGGGAAAGGCTTGCGAAGGTGAAGGTCCGCTTTGGGTCCTGGGCACAGCCGAGCCTTTCCGCCAGGGCGATGTGGCAGCTGCCCGCAAGGTGCTCGCAGAGCATCTGGGAAAGCAGGCGAGCGATCTCAAATCTCCTTGCTTTCTTCACACGAACGAAAAAGGTGTGAGCCATTTGCATCACCTCCGCTTTTGTTGGCTTTCTTTCAGGCCGGTGCTTTGAGCAACTCGATGTCGGATGGGGTGCTTAGCTCAGCCTGAGGCTTCTTTAGGGTTCGCATGCGCTGCTAAATGAGGCCGACGGGGATGATGAATTCTTCCCGTACGTGTCTCTATCTTTCACGCGCCCCTGGCTCGAGCGCCTTCCGCTCGAGCGAGCTCAAGCGGAGTCCGGCCAGGCCCTTCGCGATGAACCGCGAGAAGGCAAGTTGAGAGGAGCCGCGAGCCTTGAGCTTGGACTCGACGTCTTGAATTATCGATGGTCATTCTCGTTGTCAGTGCGACTCTTCTCCCACGTGCCAAGAACCAGGGACCGACTGTGAGCAATGCCGCAACCCTCCAAGCTGTGGGTCAAAAATGGGTTCCCAAAATGGAACCCTGGTACATGGAAACAAAGACGTCAAGCCGCGTAACCCTAACTTTACTTGCCGCCTCGTCATTGCGTCATTTTTCTGACCAAGCTGGATCGATTTGTAAACATCCCCTCAGCCCCTATTCCCGCAGACAGGGGCTCTAATGCTTTGCAGCGAAAGCAAACCAAAGCATTGGAAGTGAAGCAGTTGTTCAGCTTGGATTAGATATTTCTTAAGCGAGCTGTCAGATGTTTTTCGCTGCATTGATCTAGTGAGGTGCGACATGATGAAACGGATTTGCGCTTGGTTGGTCCTTTCCTGGCGCAATGAAGTTATTTTCGCAGTCCAAATGCATGCTGTTGCCTTGGACAATCGGCAGGGCGACCAGATATCGTTGGAATCATTTCATGCGAGGCTTCAACTTAGTGAGTACTTCTGAGAACATGATACAAAAGGGAAATGCAGAAGCGACGGACACTGAGTAGTCCTGAAAACGGCTAGAAGATATAAACAAAACGTGAGGTGGAGTTGAAAGCAGGACAGGCAACAATTCCGGAAAGTAGGCAACCGAGTCATCATTGAGAGTTGCGCGAGTATGATTATCAAAAAGAAAAAGGACGCCGCAACATGAGAAGTAAAGCAAGCCCATCACTGCTTCTTGCAGAAAATCATGAGCAATTGGACCGACCGCGCAAAGAGACACGCGGAATGGCAACGAACATGTTGTTCCTTGAATCGAAATGGAAGTAGCGAGCAATACAGTGAGTGTTGTGCGCAATACATTGGGTTGTAGTTAAAGCATGTTAAAGCGAATAACTTAATTAGTTCTTATGGGTCTTGAGAAGTGGATCAACTTGCTACATTTGGGAGTTGAGGAAGACTCAGGTGTGAGGTCCAATAGGCACTCTTTTAGATTGAAACGCCGACCGAGTGTCCGACCAGGAGAGAACTGAGGCGAGCCTTCAACTCTTGATGCTCTGTCCCCGGCTCCGAGTGCTGCAGTTTCGTGGTTTTGGTGCAAATGCCCATTAGATGCGGGCCATCTAGATGGATGCCGGGTGCGCTTCAAGATGAGAAGTTTTGTAGCGTCACGCCTCGAGGTCGAACGGGGCGGGTTATGTTTGTGGCTCTGCGGTTGGTCTCTTGCCTCTCTTGCCACTGTTCGCTACAAAGAAAAGGCCGAGATGCCGGGGAATGCATGGGGAATGCATGGGGAATGCGTCGCAATGTTGGGCTTGGAGCAGAATTCACTCAGCTTGAGAGCGTGAGAGCGTGAAGCCTGCAGCTTCGAGACTCCGGCCATGGAGCTGAGCTGACGCGAGATGCCTTCCCGGCCGGAAACTCGGCTCGCATGGGTCAAGTAAAGTACAAGTTGCTTTTCACCCATCTTGACCCTCTCAGTAGCGATCTGGGGGATCTCGTTCTCCCACTTTTCGCAGGGGCCCAAGCCCAACATGCTCTGAAGTCTGTACCGTGACTTGTGACTTGCGCTTGCTCGCCAGGTTACTTTGGAGCAGTTCTACTGTGGGGCCATACGCCATGCCGCACTCCAAGCTTTGGTGAAGCTAAAACAGTTCGACGGAAGCCAGGTGCAAGTCAACACGAAAGAGCTCAACAAGGCAGGCTACTGCCTGTTGCAGGACGGGTTGAAAAGGACGGGCTGTACGCTTGCGATTTGGCCCTCAGGAGACCTTTGAAGTCTACGTGCCTCGTGGTGCACCAGACGGGCATCGAGTGACCTTTGCTGGCAAGGCATGTGCAATTCTAAATCCTGAGGAATTCTGGACTTTTCATTGCGAGGTGACTACGGGGGACGTTGTTTTCGTCTTGCAGGCAGGAAAGCGAAGAGTTGTGAGAAGCAGTCCGTCAGCCTAGGAGATGATTCATCCACTGTGGAGCCGGCAAGGAAGCCATCTCTTCGTGAAGCAGAACATCACCTTGCGGCAGGCGGGTCAGAAACAGACACGCTGCTGGAGCCTAAGTAGACTCTACACTGACTCAATGCTGTATGGCTGCAGCTGTTTAGCTTGAGCCGCCTGCCTGAGTCACCCTTTGTTTGGATCTTAGAGCGGTCCTTGGTCATTTCTTTTCAGATCCACAGTTCGGCAAAGTTGTAGGCAAGCGATGCGGCACGTGGCGCTGGGAGTGGTGGCTTGCAATTGATGTGTGATCGGTGCGAGACAAGCAAACGGATCTGAGAGTCAGACGGAGAATTGACATGCCCCAACATGCCCGCATACCGCCATGCTTCAAGTGGCTTCAAGGTCCTAGCCCACTGTCGAATCGACCTATCATTGAATCTTCGCCCGTGCCAAGAAACCTTCAGGCGGCATCTCTGGGTGCGTACCAGCGGGGCCGGTGCCGCTGCGAGGAATGGGCCACCTGGAGCGGGCGCCTCGGGCCCGCGCCGCGCTTCCGGTCTTGCGAGAAAGAAGAGACAGAGGAGAAAGAGGAAGAAAGAGGAAGAAAGAGGAAGAAAAGAGGAGAGTTGAAGAAGACTTCGAGAAAATCTCAAGGTCCGGGCCCCTTCAGGCCCAAGGGCTTCCAGGCGAAATGCCCATGTGGTGGGTCCCGGTGGGTCCCGGTGGGTCCGGGTCCGGTGTCCCGGAAGGCTGCAAGACCCTCGCGGCCTCGAGTGACGCGCGCCCCGACCGGGACCGACATCGCGCCTTGCAACGTGCATGTACTCTCGTCTGGGCTCCAGGATTGATGAAGTGGAGGCCTTTGTTCAACAGGGCGCTTGCCTCAGCATTTCGCGTGTCGCGTGTCGCGTTTTTCCGGGCCTGAGTTGATGGCTGAAGGCCCGCTGTATCGGGAGCTTCTGCTCAGCTGCGCGCCTCCGAGCCACGAGTGGCTGGAGAAGGGCCAGGCCCGTTATAAGATGTTGGGAAGTTCAGGGTTCTCGGGCTCCGGCATGTTCCGGCGCATCGCGAGAAGTCAGCGTGTATGCGAGGCTCTGGCAGAGCGGAACTCAGATTTGATGGGCGAACTGCGAGCCGAGTCGCAGATGCTCTCCTTAGGCTTCGCTGGGTCCGATGGACTGGCAGGTGTTGACGAGGCGGCATACCCGGCATATGGCATCATGGCAGTGGAAGGTTGCCCGGCGCATCTACCACTTGTACCTGCCGCGGCCACAAGCTGCCACAAGCTGCAAGCTGCACTCGCTGAAAGGGCACTCACCTTGCCTGTTGCAAGGCCGCTGTATTTCTGGATGCGGCATCAACTGCATGAGATCCGCGGCAGGCGCGCCATGGCAATGGCCAACGCAATGGCCAACGTGCCATTCCGATCTTGCCCTCGAGGCAAGGCGGCGCCGTGGTCTTCGGCTTCACCGCGTGCGGAGCCCAAAGTCTCAAAGGCTGAGGGCAAGGGCCCGGGGGCATGCGGGGGCACTCTCCACCCGAGCTCAATTCCGAGGCCGCAGGGCTGTGGGAAGACCACTACCATGAACATTCTCCAGGAGCTTTTCTGTTTGGAGGGACTTCGCTGTGAGGCTCGCCTGAGCTCAGCATCCCATGCCGCGTGTCTAATTTGCAGGCGGTGTCGATTGACGACTTCTACGTGCCTGCAAGTTGGCAGGAGGTGGGAGTCTGCACAGTCCATTGTATGAGTCCATTGTATGATTGTTTCGAAGGTGCTGGCAGAGTTGCATCCAGACAACGATTTGATGCAGCCGGGCTCCCAGCGCTCCCAGGGCTCCGTAATACGGACTCCGTACCCTCCCTCTCCCGCATGTCAAGGACCCGTGGCAACGCCGGAACCCATGACGTGCGGCTGGGTGCAGAGACGCTGCAGGAGGGCTGAGAGAAGCGGGGCCCGTGAGCACCCCCAGTGCGCAGGCTCTGAAGAGTTCAGACGACACGGAGGCGCCGTCAACCTCTGTCCCGTGTCCCCGAAGACGACTCGAGGTCCTGCTGCCGCGGTATGACAAGTCCGCCCAAGGTGGAAGAGGTGACCAGGCCGGCGTGCGGGGCGCGAACCTAGACACATGAAGACATAAGACATAAGACCCAGGTGCCGAGGTCGTCTTGGAAGGGTGTTCAAACACCTTGTGACGTGGTGATCTTGGAGGGATGGCCGGCGGCCCAAACTGCGCACCCATCTGTCAGAATCTGTCAGACTTGCAGCGACTTGCAGCGACTTGCAGCGACTTGCAGGATGGTGGGGTTCAAGCCCCAGGAAGCCGCAGGCTGAGCATAGCGGCATAGCACGAGCAGTGCCGAGCAGTCGAGTTGAGCCGAGTTCACGTCAGGACGCTGCCAAGATCCATCCAGGACTTCGACTGGTCAACGACAAGCTCAAGTCTTATCAGGCGAAGGGACTGATGTCAAAATGACGATCCGCGCTTGTGGATCCCTCTCGGCCGCTGCCTTGTCTCCATCCTCTCCATGGCTTTTGAGTGACATGGGTGTCACCCGCATTCACCCGTATGCGTTTCCAATCTTTTCCAGGCTTGGGATGACCTGCTGGACGCCTACTGCGTGCTAGCAGTGGACGACATTGAGCAGGCCCGACTGGCCCGACGGATGGCCCGATGTCGGAACAGCCCAGGTATACACCTGGCGGACCGAGGCGGAAGACTCCATGAAGAACACGAGAGGCGAATCGTCCAAATCGACGAATCGACTTCTCCGATTCGACCCGAAAGCTTCAAGCAAGGCAAGAATGATCAGAAATGCAAAGCAAGGCAAAGGCAAAGCGCAAGCGCAAGCCGCGCAAGGTACAGGGATGAGCCACACGGAGGTGCGGGACTTTGTCAGCCACTTCATGCCAGCCTACCATGCTTATAGCCGGGGACCCAAGTCTCCCAAAATTTCAAAACACCCAACGAATCAACATGAATCAACGCAGGATGTGCAGCGTTTGCCCAAGGACCGCAGCTTTATGCGGAAGCCGAAAGAGGCCGGAGGGTGTCGACCTTTGCGGTTCAGCCATGCGGCCATGCGGCAATCGGAGCATGTGACATGTGCACCATGTGAGGCGTAGACGGCAAGCCGACCTTGGTTTGCCACATCGGCCCAGACCGATTGCCCTATGAAAGCTTGTGAAAGCTGAGACGCTCTCGGCTGTGCAACCGGCTTCTGGGCCGGCGATTTGTTTAGTGCGAAAACGGGCGAATTGCGAGTGCCCGAGCTTTTTGTGAGAATGAACCTTCAACAGCCGTTTTCGATTATATTATCTGAAAGGACTCGATGCAGTCCTACCATCAATCCATTGTCCAGGCACTCACCGGCAGAGTGGTCATTGAGCACTTGGACGGCCAGAAGCCGAGCACTCGGAGCTCCAAGAGCCAAAACAGCTGTCCAAAAAATGTTCGCCCAAGAGGAGTGATGAAAGCACAAAGAAGCGTTTCGATTGGACGAATGTAAAGCTTTGTCATTGATCTTAAGCTGTTTCATTTGCCTGAAATATGGCTTTCCCGAGCTGTCCAGCGGGGCATGGCTGAGTGCTTTTTCCACGCAGTCCTCCAGTCCTCACGGCTTGTTCCTCCAGGCTTCACCGCCCGTATGATCCGTTTCGATATCCTGAACCTGAACAAACATGAAGCATCGCAGGATGAATCTCACAGCTTTCGCTCTGTGTAATATAAGGCAGAGAGTAATGCAGTCAAAGCCTTTGCTTCAAGAATCGGTTCAAAGCTCTGCAGGCTGCTGGTGCGCACTGCGGAGGTGCTGGCTCCTCGCGAGAAGCTCGATGCCGAGGCTTCGGCGTGTGGCTTTACGCGAGCTGAGTGGACACTTTTGGCAATTCCTGGGATCTCGTAGAGAGACTCGAGTCGAGTACATTTTTGATTTCCCGCAGATTCCCGCAGGCTGAGTGGAGTCGTTTCGATGGGATGGACAGCATGCCGGGCCAGGAGCGCTTCATGGCGTCAGCTTGTGATTGAGAAGCGCAAGCAGCCAGGATGCAGCGACCTTGAAGACGGGCGACATTGAAGCCTGCAAGGACGCAAGCTGAAGGCAAGCTGAAGGCAAGCTGAAGGCAAGCTGAAGGTGCTAAGGTCCGTTCGATATTTTCGTCCAGGAGCTGTGCCGCTGCAACGGCTGGTTCGGGTTCACCTACTGGGAAGATCGTGCATACTTCCGCTCCCAGGAGAGGATCTTTCGGAGGCATATTCGCACTTGCATGCGCGCAGGACCGGCAGAGCCTTCTGAGGAACAAGAGGCCGTGCAGCGCACAGAGAAGCGTGGCATTTGTGTATATCCGTTTTATCCGTTTTATCCGTTTTATCCGCTTTATCCGTTTTATCTGTTTCTTGCCACCGAGGTCAAGTGGCTCCATCCTTTTCATTCGGCCAGAGGTCTCCAATCTCCAGGCCATGGAGATTGAGTTGCGAGCAACCGGATTCGGAGCTTCCAGCACGCCATCCTGGACGCGGGCATGCCGGAGATGCCGGAGATGCCGGAGACGCCGGCGCAGCGGACTCGAGGTGCCTCGGAGATGGGGCGGACATCCGGAAAGAAAAAGAAAAGAGAGAGAGGGAGAGAGACGGAGAGGGAGAAGAGCAGGGCATTTGTTCGTGCTGCTGCAGATCCAGTGGCCCGTGCGTTGCTCAGCCGCGCTTTCGGTGCCTGGCCACTTTGCTTTCTCGAGGCCATGCACTGCAAGGTGGGCACGTCGTTTCCACTCGACTCGTGCGTCGCTTGGTCAACTGAGTGCTTCTTGTGCGTTCTAATCACTTTGCCCCTCTTGGCAACTGGCTCAAGTTGGGGAATCTGCATGCCTAAAAGGGGCTGGCAGAGACATGCAAGAAGCAGCAAGAAGCCAGCACAAGTGGCTGGAAAGAACTCGGCGTCTCAAAAATGCGGAAGGATGCTGGAGGAACGCCATATTGGAATACTGCCAGGGCCCGGTTTGTGTTTCGACAGATTGTAGCGCTCTCTCAGAAGTTCCACACACAGCGCAGAAAGCAGAACCGCGCGGGCAGGGTCTAGGGTCTAGTGTTCCCAAGCAGATGTCCCATGGATGAGGCGCAGGCCACGCGAGAGAGCTGCAAAAGTACAAAGACGAGAGATGTCATGAGATGTCAGAGTCTTGGAGTAGCAAGATGAAAGCAAGCATGAGCTGGCGCGTAGGTGAAGCGGCGGCGTTGCTGCAGTTGCAGCAGCACGGCCACGGGAGCCTTGCTCGGCAATGAGTTGTCCGAATTGTCACTTTCCCTTACTGGACGTTCGGGCATGCTGTTCGCGCGTTGCAAAGTTCGGTAGGCGCCGTCGCCAATGCCGACGAGCTCTTTCAGCTGTCCACCAGCATTGACTGGTCTGGCAAAAAGCCCGTGGTTACCCGTGAGGCGTGGCCAACACTTTGCGACTTTGCGGCAACTTGCAGTTCGTTTTGCTTCAGTTGAAGTTTGCCAGGTGATCATTGGCGAAGAGAGCTGGGAACGGGGCAGCTTGCTGGTTGGCGTGGGCCATGGAGCACATGAGATTCGCCGAAACGCAGAGCACATGAAAAAGGCGATTCAGGCCGCTTGGCCGTGACTGAGAGCTGACTGGTCTGAATGATTTGAAAGTGTGTTGACGTGTATTTTTTTGTGAGAGTTGAGGATGCCATTAATGAAGATCGTGCCCTGGCTTCCAGATAGCGCTTTCATTTGACATGGTGCCTTCAGAAAATTTGAATGCTGCCGCACTCTGAGGAGAAGTCTGGGTGAGCATGCGCAAGTTCCGAGTCGGTATGCCCTGGTGTTTGGTGTTACGCTGCCCCTGCTTGGTGCTGTGCGGCACACTGCTGGGCATTTTTGCCCTCATTGGCATCGGAGCCACCAGCGCGCCCATCAGCTTGAACACCGACTTCGCGGCTCGGCGCGGAACTCGCACCGCGTGGGCTGGCGAATCGGAGCGTCGGATAGCGTCGGATCCAGAGAGCTTCAGGACTCCTTTATGGACTCTGATGGAGCTGCGTCGCTCAATTGGAACGCCATCCTGCAGGCCCCTGACGCCTTCTCCATCAGATAGGATTTGACTCGGATTTTGATGGCTTGAGACTGATTGAGACCGGTTGACCGGTTTCGCCCAGGGCATCTTGGACGCCCGGGCAGCTCGCCAAAGCCGGCGCCTCCAAGGCCGAGGCGAACTGAGCTTGGAGGACGGCTCGCCCATCGCGGGGCGGAAGCTCCAAGCTGGCCTCAAGTTGCCACGTGGCGAACATGTAACAAATGTAACATAATGTAACAAATGTACACGTGTAACAACTCCCACGTTGAACACTGGCAAGAACCGAATAAGGTGGAATCGAAAGATCGCTCGGCTCAGGTTCAAAAGCTATAGCTTTGAGCTCACGTACGCGCGCAGAGATGAGGGTGTGTCTCCGCTATTCTCCGCTTGCCGTCAGTCGTTTGCGATGTCTGCGCAGGCAACCTGCTGCGCGAGACGGACCTTGCCTACATCAGGCCAGGCTGTCGGACTCCCCGGACAGTGCGAGACGCACTTTTGTCTCTCTCTCTCTCTCCTCAGGAACATCGAGGCCGAGTTGAAATCCATGGCAGCCTTCAGAACCCTTTGCGACACAGCTGAGGAGTTCCTTGCCCAAAACAGCCAACATGAAGCGCCTGTGTTCGACATTCTGCGTATTGCGCACAGAAACAGACAGAGTCGAGCGGCCAAGGAAGTACAAGTTGCATTGCGATCCTGGCATCTCCATGGCCAATATCGTTTTCCCCTTGCAAGTGCCCGACGGCGCCGATGCCAGCAGCTGGGCATGCAGGCCCTTGTCGCCGGAGCCAAGCAAACAGAGGTGTCGCACAGGATGGAGAGAGAGAGCGAGAGAGAGAGAATGCAGACAGAGCTGAGGATTATACCTGAATGGCACCGGGTCCAGTGCTGTCCCCTTGGCTGTAGCTGTGGCGCTGGCTCGGGAGGCGCTCCGTGTGTCGCCTTTCCGTTCGGTGTACGGGTCCCGACTGCCAAGACCGTTTCCGGGGTCGATTCCGTTTGACGTTCGGTGTCCGGAATCCGGATGTTTCCGGATGTTTCTGGAAAACTTTGCCAGGAGGGCCTCACCAGCATGGTGTGGCCCGAGGGCTTGGCCGACTCAGAGGCCATGTGACCGAGCGACGGAGCCGGCCATGCGACCGAGCAAGGTGCGGATTGTGGGCGTGGAGGACTGCGGCGACCTGGTGCCAAGCTGCGAAACTTGGAGAACGCTGGGCCAATGCGAACCAGGCCGGGAGCGTCCAATTCGCTTGGGGCGTGAGAGCAAACTGAGGTGCCGAGCATGAGGCCTACATGCAGGAGCACCTGGAACCGGCCGTCAGGCAGAGGGCGTGCCGTCGGCTTGACGCGAGGACTTCTGCAAAGCCACGTGCGGCCACTGTGACAAGGCGGTCCCGGAGGCATGAGGGCGAGTCGCGCGTCGTCGAGTCGCAGCTTGCAAAACGCGCCAGGTGCGGGACACCACAGGCCAGACGCTTCCGGCTTCCATTTCAGTTACGCCCACCCTTCAAGCTTCAAACCCCCACAAGTTCCACAAGCCTTTGTGGCGCTGTGAGGCCCCGCGGAGGTCACGGCTATGCGCTCATACTTCACCTTGCAGGCCTACTGCTGCCAAGCAGGCGCCGTTGACGGTGATAGCGATGCATATCGATGTGCTCGCTGACGCAAGCGAAGCCATTGCGGCATGGCTGAGGCGAGTCCGGCCAACTCGAGCGGGTGGCGGTCATGGACAATACTTGGAGCACTCTCGCCTTCCGGCTAGAGAAAGCATGAAGCTATGAGCATGCTTCCTGCGTTTCCTGATCCGATGGTTCCGAGGTCGTTCAGATGGTAGATATCCTCACGAAAAAGAATGAGGCTTCCAGTCAGAGATCTGGTTCTATTCGGGTTTTCTATGAGGGTGATGGCATCTCCACCTACGAGAGCATGGCAGCAGTCGCCGGCGACGCCAACTTTGACGCTCAGCTCTGTGATGTTCAAATTTGGTGTTTGATGTGTTTGGCGTCGTGTTTTCTTGCGCTAAAACGAGCGTTCGGAAATGTTGGGATTTGAGGCCATCATGTCCTACTGCTTCGTCATGGTCTATGCCACGCTGCACACGAGGAGCCCCTTCCTCGCCTTCGTGGGGCTGGGCCTTGTGATGTTGTCAATCCCGGCGACCCTGGCCGTGTTTATTTTGGCCAGCGGAAGTGGCGAGTTCAGCCTCATGATGTGTCTGTCGATTTTCATCGTCATCGGCGTCGGCTCGGATATGCTCTTTGTCTACACCGACTTCTACAAGCAATCCTTGCTGCTTGGTGCATGGCTATAAGTGCTGTCACCGGCAGAGTCGGAGAACGATTTGAGATTGAGGCTCTTCACCAGAGACCCAGCAGAGAGGCTGAAATTCACGTATCTTCAGGCCGGCCCGGTACAGGGAAGTTTGCACAATGTGCGTGAATTGAAAGATGCCCGTTGGACACTGACTGATTTGGATACCACTTTGGATACCTTTGCATCTCATGTATATCCTCTTCGTTGCCAGGCTGCCTCGTCCACAGCTGCAACGACCTTCACAACAGCGATGAGTTTTTTCGCCAACCTTGCCTCAGTCTTGCGGCCCTTGCGAGAGTTCGGCTTCTTCATGGGGGTCTGCGACGCTCGGCGCTACGAAACTCAAGTCATAACTTCTCTAACTTCTCGGCTGTCGGATCGAGTCGGGCTTCGGGCTTCCTGTCGAGTCAGGTGACCCTGGCATGGCTCATCGTGTTCCTGGCATATCCTTCCGCCCTTGTGTTGGGCGAGCGCTTGCACAGCAGCTGCAGGCCCAGATCTCAGAATCTCAGAGCGGAGCGGCGAGCCACACCTAAGACTCAAGAGGCCCTCGGTAATGTTGGACTCTCTTTAGTGTGACCTCCCCCTCGAACAGTGGAAACAGTCAGCTGGACTCTCTTTAGTGGGTTCCTGGGGGGTCTGAGAGGGACAGTACTTACTTTAGAGTGTTGCCAAGGCCCCCTCGCAGATTCCCAGAACTGACTTTAGTGTTGCCAATTCTACTTTAGTATTGCCAAGGCCCCCTGAGCCAGAGCAAATCCAGAAAGCGAAGAAAGAAGCTCTGCGTTTTCTTGTCTTTTTTTGGGGGGGGACAAAAACACAATAGAGAACCCCTAAAAAAGTCACCGGATTCTGAATTAGAAAAACAGTTTCCACAATAGAGGTGCTATTAATCAAAGGAAGTTTAGAAGGAACTTCCGTGTTACGGCAACTAATTGAAAGCTAGCTCTCTCAGACAAATGACAAGAGAAGGAATAAGCCCGCGAGGAAAAATGCGCGTGCGTGTGCGTGTGGCAGGGGAAGAGAAAGTCGCAAAAAACATGGCCCTGTGCGTGAATCGGCGTTTTTCGGAGATGAGAAAGTCGCAAAAAGCGTGGCGCTGTGCGTGAATTGGCGTCTCCGGAGACGCGAAAGCTAGCCTGTCCGGAGCATGCTCGGAGCGGGCTCGGATCACGTTCGGCGCCGGGCCCATTGGCACGGCAACGCAGAGGTTTCGCAGGGTTTGAGTTGCGTGGCAGGGGCAGCATTTTGGCAAGGTCGGGTGCAGATTTCGTGGCAGGCGCAGCATTTTCGCAAGGTCAAGTTTTCCCAAGGATTGAATTGCATGGCAGGCGCAGCACTTTCAACATGTCAGGTGCAGAT